TGAATCCTCGCCAGCATCCTTCTTCTGAAGGTGCTTAAACACCCTCGCCCTTAAACCAGGAATAAAACTCTGAAATGGGGAGATCTCAGCCTGTTTTGCCTCGTGCATTGTTTTCACTGTAATCAGCTGCCTTATGGGAATGGTGAATTTCAGTATAGGAAATTAAACTAAAATTGAGAGTTTCTGTCTTTCTTCTTGGATGACAGAAAAGTAGATCTCTCTGGTTAGACACAGAATGTCAGGCAAATTGCATGGTTATGCTTTCTTCATTTGGTCTAATCTGCACATACAGATGGAGAACTTGTTCTCCAGAGGCTGTCAACTTGCATGGACTCAAGGAAGCATCTTTAAGAAAACAGGATTTGAAGTATATAATTATTTTGGTATTTTAATGACAATTGAGAGGACAAAATGCAGTCTGCATAAGCAGATTTACTCCCGTTTTACTCACTTCTGAGTGCTTGCTTTTACGACTTTATTGAAATTTCAGGAGCAGAGGATGGTGATTGGTGTGGGACTTGCCTGGTTAACATATGAAGGGACATCACTGCTATGACTTTCTTTTAGAGAAAGAGCTTTAAACTTGTTTTAAGTAGTGAGACAGAGACAATATTCTGGCAGCTGATTTGATGCACAACCGATAGATATGGACAGCAAACGAGTAATGTTTAAGCCAGTTTGGACCTGGAAGTAGCAATGGACTCTTGGAAACGTTTTTTGGATTAAAAGAAAAGTGAGCCAAGTGATATGAACGTGTTCATTCACAGAATATGCTAGTTGACTAGTTTGGGTTTGCATTCTTGCATTGTGTCTATTTCTTCCACATACAAATTTATCAAAATCCTATAGGCCCAATTAAAAGGTTTAGTGGAAGGGGTACGTCTGGGAGGCTGGATGCATGATGAAGCTTCTTCAGAGAAGAAAGCTTCAATGATCAGGTTTGAGAGTTAGGACTGGTGTGATAGTCTTCTGCACTTGATCAACTATGCTGACAGTGTAGAAAAAAAGCCATTAGAAAAATCTAGACGCCTTTAAGAGCTTGGGTGGGAATGAGGGAAGCAAGAGAGCAAAGCTGGACTATAAAACAGCTAGACATAAAATATGTCTATTTCTCACAAAATGTAAATGAGTAGATGAAGGTGAAGAGAACGAATAAACAGCAGATGGAAATCATGCAGACTGTAGCAGTCCAAAAAAGCACTTTGTCATGGTGTATGACTGTATGTATCCTTTTTCAGGGCTCCCCACATCATGCCTTTGAGCATCTTCTCTAACCGGGTCATGAATAGCCTTGAAGTGATGTCCAGAACAGTTTTGTTTTCTACAATGCCCCATTTGTTGTCATGTTGAGAACATTTTTTTAGTAAATGGTTTTACATTTTTTGGCTGCACCATCCTCTGAGGTTAAATAATTGATTTCCAGCAGACCTGCTTTTTGTGCACTCAAACTTAGTTCAGCATGTGCCAAAATAACAATTTTGTGCCTAAGTCTCTTGAATTTGTTTATGGAGATAGGAGAATACTGATTGTATTTTTTTAGCATATGTGGCAATGCATTCAATGATATTTGTGAAACACAAGTAACCATTGCAATTTTATGTTAAAGATTTCAAACATTTAAGTGAAATAAACTCATTTTTTTATGTAATGCTGATAATGCTGGCAGATAAGGATAAGACAGGGTTATTACATGACAAATGAAGGTTACATAGTGATATGTTCTGTTACTTTGGCTGGAGTTGGCTGGCTTGCAGAATTTCTTCTGTTGGATAGGGAGAGATGTCTTACTTACCTATTCTGTAGTTCCTCATTTGACCTAGTGTGAAATTACATTTTATTATCTTTTGTTTTCCTGTGAGTCTGAAGTTTGCTGTTTTCTATCTTAAATTTATTGGATGCCTTTCTCTTGATGGATGTATTTGCACAGTTGCATATGTTTTCTGTCATCACAGAACATATTTAATGCACCATATTAAGTTTTGGATTAGCAATGTAACTTCCATATCAGAATCAGTAATTTCTTATTAAAAATTGAGGAAAAAAGAATAATTTCAAGGATAGACCTAAAGATTATATAAGTGACTCTGGAGTTCTGAACACATAATTTCCTAGATTGAAACAGCAAGTTTCTTAAGAAATCAACTCAGAAATTTTGGTTTTAGTGTGGATGGAAAATTTCCTTGTACAAAGGAAGATATTAGTGAAAACCTTCAGAGTGTGACAAAGGAATGTCCAGAGTTCATATTTTCTGTACAAACGCTTGATGAAAAGCTGTTTATATAGACCAAGCCTTCTATAGATGAAAAGTATATAAGAGTTTAGAAGACTTGGAATGCAGAATACCTGGGTCTACCCACAAAATTGTTTACAAAAGACTGAAGCATTGTGGTGGATGATGTAACATTAGGAAGTATGCCAAGAAAGGTATCATGTAAGGCTTGTCTACATGAAGAACTAGCCCAAAATATCTGTCAAGGAATAGCTCTTCTACAGTAGCTCCCTGAGAGGATGTTAAGAGTGCTTTTTTTAGTCCACTTTGAAAGTGGATTTAGCTAAACCACAGAAAGCTTTTAGTAAGACTGTCTGTGGGGGAGTTTGAATGGAATAGCTGTAGTACTTCCCTTTTTTCACAATACCCTCTACACATAGATTTGCCTCTGCAACAGTTTTGACCATTTCTAGGAGAATTTTCCTTTTGAGTTTGTAACAGCATATAGCTTCAAAAAGCCTTTTAACAGTATTTATGAAGTAATAAGCATACACACAAAGGCTTTTTAAAAATAGCTGTAACAATCGTGGACATGAGCAGTTAAATATGCTATATAAACATTGATTATAAATTTCTGTCTCATACTTGAGAGCAGAAATCAATTCAACCTGTACAACTTTCAAGATCATAAAACTCCTGTATTTTTGGCACGGAAAAGGCCAGAATTTTCCAAACAAACCAGATGGAAAGTCAGGCTCTGGAATTCTTCAGCTTTTAAGGCTGGATCAGAATAACAAAGCAAAACACTTATCATGGACGTGGTCAAAAAGTCTAATATATTTTAGCAACAGCCTAAGAAGTTTTGTTGCATGTTTAATGCTCAAAACCATGGTGTTCAGCAATGTCTCTCCGGAACTGAAACTGAACAGGATGCAATCCCTGTCACAATGATCTCAATGGGTCCTTTTAATGTTAAAATACATAATTTTGTAAAGTGCTTCAAAAATAATGTTTACCACTGTCATCAAAGAGGCCTTGTTAGGTAGGTATGATATTCTAATATATCATTTTACATTTTCACAATAAGAATAAATTGCTTTATAGTAAAATTCCCATATTTAAATTTTTCAGCTGTACATACTATATTAAGGTTTAAAATATGGTTCACAAACAGAAAATGGTATAACTCATTATGAATCCTTTTAAGAAGGTGGGTTAAATGTATCCTCCTCTGTGTTTAGGAATTTTCTTTATAATCCACTTATTCATTCATATACTGTTCTCATACTTTGCCCTCTTCAAATGGGGTATTTCTGCCTCTTCCACAGCAGAGAACTCATGAGCCATCAGTTTTCAGCACAAGCAGAAAGTTGGAGAGTTTCCCAATGGAATGATGTGCCTTTCTAATGTTGTTTAGGTTCTCACCTCCTTGGGAAAGGTACAGACCCTTGCCTGTGTGTGTGTAGTACATGAAAAGTATTGTTGTGTCAGAAATGGGGAAAACCTGCAGGTTTTGGTGTTTACAGCGTGTGACCTGCCCTGGCTGGAGCACCCAGCACCTCCGTAGGGGGCCCTGCAGCTGTATGTGGCACAGGCAGCAGGGTCTGTCAGGCTTCCTCTACATGGAAACCCCTGTGCTGCATAGAGCCAACCATTGTTTTTGCCTGCCTTTTACATGAAGAAATATTTAGCCTCTGGTTTTGTTTGCAGAATAGTTTTGGGAAATGTATTGCTTGTATCTAAGAGCCGGTGTTAGCAGTAGGACAGTAATAGCCATTAATGACTAGGAAATTGTCAAAGAACAAAGCCTAGTAAGAGCCAAAATAGTAAAGAAATTGATCAATGTGGACATATTATCTGAACATGCTGACGCTCATAGTCAAAACAACATAGGCAACTATAATAGATTAAAACCGCTTTTTGTCTCTTTCTTCTTGAAAGACCAAACTTTTCTGTTACTGTGTTTGTGACTTTGCTTCAAGGACATAGGGCTAGACTTTACGGTTTGTTTAGCTATGAAGGGATGACAGACTAGGGGGGTGGTAAGGGGAGCTTAGTTTTGGAATGTAAATACATGTAGAGCTGTTCTCCTTTTGTTTAGCATCTCTTTAAACTAAGACAAAAAAAATCAGTGAATGAATGAATAGCAGCATGGTGAAATACCTAAATGTTTGAGTTAAAATTTTTGGATGTTTGAAATCCTATTTGGATCCTTTTCCCAGATCGCTGTGCATTCATATGCACTCAGCAGGAAACTTCATGGAGATGCACATTTGGGCAGAAGGTCTTTGGCGGTGCCTTTTTCTTAACTGGTGTCTTTTCTTCTTTTGAAGAAAGTAATGGCTTAAGTCTGACTGAAGAACAATCTTTTTTTGTATGTTCCTTATAAGAATTTACTTATGGTTCACAGATTTTACCCACCATCTATGTCTGCAGTCCTTTGGATTTAAAACAGCATATATCCCTCTGCAGACAACAGGAAACGCCAAATTAAAGACTTAATGACATACTGCTGAAAGAAGACAAAAGGTGACAAATTATAAAACAGCCAGCTAAACTTTTAAAAAAAAACACTGGAAAAAATCCCACATTCAAACAGCTTGAAAAGGATACGGATATTGTTACACTTGCAGACGTGTTAATAGAAATTAAACTGAATCATGCTGAATATAAACTTAAGCATTTAAAAAGAACTAACATGTTTTGAAAAATAGTATTTTCCTAGAACAGTGAAAATGGACTTCTGAGTTATTTTTAAAAAGTGAATAATTTAATGTGTTTTTACCTTGTTTTTATTGGATGTCTAAACCACAGACTCCATTTTTGTAATTGTGAACCCAGTGAAAATGTGACTTCTACTCTTAAAACATTATTAACCTCTGTTGCTGATGAAAGTGCAGTTGTGTTAATTTTCCCTTCAGTTGTCCGTTGGCTGTGTTCTCCAGACTGGCAGTCTCTGGCTTGATTTACTATGGGTGGAACATCCTTTGATCTCCTGTTGAGTTGGAGATGGTGGAAAAGAAGCAAGATAACTGAAAAAGAGAAGGGAGGGAGAGCCATAGAGATGAAAAGCAAAGTTACAAACCTTTCCTCTCCTCCGATCCTAGAGGCCTTGATCCTCTAATTTATTTAATCGTTTTAATGTTTACATCGTTTGATGGTAAATGTTTTATGTTTTAATATCCTCGATGCCATGAACTTTATTTTGGACCATAGCACTTAGTAACTTGAAAGGAAGTGCTGCTTTTAGTAAGGTAACAGCAAGAATGTGAACAATTTTCAATTGATAGATTTGAGAATACTTGTGTTACATTTACATCACCTACTGCTCCCAGTTTACCTTAAGGATTTATGCTTAAAGGTTTACCTATCCAGTAGCTTGCTGATACAATCCTGAAATCAGATCAGAGGGAATCTGCCAATAACTTCACAGTAAACAATCATCATGATAAGTCTCTGGTTCATCTTTTTATTCACGTACTCTGTGTTTTATATTCTTGCCACTGCGACTGCAAAACTTGAAATACACAGGACCCATTTGACTGATAAATGCTGTTGATGCCAAAGCACTGGGTTTTCTTGTTTGGTGGGGTTTTTTTTTGGTTTTGGTTTTGTTCTTGGGTCTTTTGGTGATTTGTTGCTGTTCTTTTTGTTTGGTTGCTTTGGTTGTGGGGTGGGTTTTTTTGTTTGGTATTTTTTTAGAATTTGGAAAAAAGGGAAGTGATTGCTTGGGGATTCCTAGTGGAATCTAACTGCATATTAAGAGGGAGAGAGAGAGCTCTTTATTCATGACTTCAGTTCTCATGAAAAGAAATGTTTAAATAGGAACATTTGCAGGCCTATGTGAACTGTTCTAACTCTGTTTATGATGATAAATTCCATTACTCACCTAATACTTAAACAAGCATCTTCATTCTCTGTGTATGCCTTTATGCTCAAAAGAAGCTTGATATATATATATTATGTTTTTAATATATAATTAGATATAAAAGACCCAGACATCTGCTAGTATGCTGAGGATATTCTGACTAGCTTTATCTCCTCTTTAGAAATTGTCTACATCCATCTGCTGTTTGTGCTGTTATGCATGCATTCTAAGTTCTGGGGCTGAGCCTCTGTTTCATATGTGCAATATCAATTGCAATGGGTACAAGTCAACAGCTGCGTATCAGATAATGCAATAAAACAAAATTAATGAGTGTGTGTGTGTGTCAGATGAGCTGCTGTGAATGTGCAGCACTAAGAAACATTGTGAGATGAGTGAAAGATAGAAGACCCACCAAGTCATATTTTGTCCTTGATAATGTGAGAAGCCAGTTTAATTTCTTTGTTTTAAAGCTGAACTGAAACATTTACCCCACCTTTTCCCATATGGAAAAAGAGTTTGCCATTGCAAAAGCACTCCGTTTTGACTTCTTCAGCAGTTAGAAACTTGACTGATTTTTAGTTGGGCTTGCCTTTATAAATTGTTCAAGTCCATTTGATGTTCGTCTTTTAATACATTGCTCTTCAAAATGTTTTTAAGCTGAAGCACTAACTAGTGTTTTTAAAAAATATATAAACAGTCAAACTGAAATCATAGTAATTTCTTGATTGTCTGTGCTCTTGAGGGTATTATTCAGCCAAGTTTGAAGAACTGAACAGCCACACTGTATTTATGTGCATCGTAGAAGAAATACACATTCGTGAACTCTCTTGGGCTGCAACTGAGTTGTAATAGATGTCTGCACAGCATATCATGTAGTGGGGCCCCAATCTCTAGTGGGATTTATAGATTCTACCATGATAAAAATAATAAAGGAGGATCTTCTTGAAAAGATAATGTAACCTCAGGGTGTTGCCTTTTTGTGCATGGATTTATATATATATATATATATGTATATATATACACACACATATATATACACACAGACACACTCAGCAATTCAGTTATTTGCAGTTCAGCCAAAATTTTTGTTTCAATACCTTTAAAACCATTGATTCCTCAACTGAAATAGAGGAAATGTTAAAATTGATAAAAATACTCCTAATTTAATTTCCAAAAAATGAAAAATAAAGATGAAGTATAGGAATTTAAATTTTTAAAAATGGATTGTTTCCTTTGTTCACATGATGGAAAATATTAATTCAGATGTTCTGTAGTGATTTGAAGTATGTGGTAGAACTGGAGCAGTGCTTGGAATATGATAATCCTGGAGAATAAATGAGTGATGACCAACAGTATCTAGCAAGTGAATTTTTAGTTTTAAAATGTAGCCACTCTCCTTTTATAGTTCTGCCAGAAAACAAAAACAAAGAAGCAAAAAATCAGTAATCTCAGATAGATCTGACACACTAGCTACAGCAAAGGAAGTTTCCTGATGATAAAGACTACCTTCTGACAGCAACAAGGAAAGGGCCATTAATCCCGCAAGAGGGAGACAGTGAATGTGACTGAGTTCGAGAAGCTTGGTTGGCATGGAGTGAAAGTGGAGAAGGAGTAATAGGATTAGGGCTGTTACTTCTTTAGGACTTTCCACCTTTCCATTTGTGGTTGGAGGAAGATGAGAGCCAGCTTTTGGCTCACCTGGGTTTTTCAGAAGCCTCTAACTCCTAAAATTAAACTTCATGGGTGTGGAGAACATCTTTTTGTTACATTTAGATGCAAGCAAATAGAAATAGTTTGTAGGTTCTGCTGAAAAACAAATAATAGTTACACCCAAAGCTAATTTTGTATTAAAGCAAAGTACATACTTTCTGAGCAAGTTCAGGTATAATATGCCAATCATACCAGCATAAAATTAGCTCTCTTTACAGCTATAGTTTCTCTTGATGCAAATATTATTTTAATCTTGGTTTAGACTTTGTGGAAAGTGCATGGTGGTTAGTCCTAAAAACTGTCCTGTGTTTATGGTCAGAAGCTGTCTACCCAGTGTGTTACAGCCACAACTTCAAAAGCCAGTTTGCAGGAACGGGAAACAGTGGTTTTACTCCTGTGCCACTTCAGCCTTGGGTCTGAACTGCAGAGCTGCCAAAATTACAAGTAATCATGGTAGTGTGAATCAAGGGGTTTGTTTCTTTATTCCTGAGAATGCCAGCAATTCTAGAAATTATGCTAGACAGTCAATTAAATTTCGACAGGCTATCAAACTATCATCAAAGGGCATCAAGTTTTAGTAAGATATAGTCAGAATTCTGCAGAAAATCCCTACAGACATCGAAGGAATGGTGCTGTGAAGAACAGACCTGCCACTGGCAATACTCCAGCCCTGCAGATGTGAGGTGGAGGAGGTTCTGCAGGATTAGGGGAGTGGAGAATACTCTGCATTCAGCCTGAAAACTCTGCCCTGGTTTAAAATCCTAGGTTGCTTAATATGGGTAGAAGGTGGCAGAAACTAAGAATGTTTCATAAAATTGTTTAGGCAAAAAGTAAAAGCAAAAGATGAAAACAACAAAAGTTGAACTGTGTCTGCAGCAACTTAGAAAGCAATTATAGTTCAGCCTACGTATAAAAGGGCTTTTCACTTCTTAAAAATGCCTAAATAAATAAATTTTTTAAAATCCATAATCTTAAAACTGGCCCCATGAAAACTGTCAAACTGTGATTTGAATGAGTGATTTTAATGATTGGTTTGCCATGTATTTTTGATGTCATTGAAACACAACTCTCTTGTGGTGCACTGGACATTTTAAAGTGGTTTATCAGTGTTATCTTGGCTACCACCGCTATTCTGCATTGAGCCAGTATGACTCTTCACCACTTCACTGAAATTTTGTAACCACTGAAATGTAATATAACACACCCATAGCTTGTCCGGTGCACTTCTAGAAATGGATAACCCAGTTCCTCACTGCCTTGTTTTATTTTTCTAGGGACATGGGGTGGTTTTGTGTTGGTTTTGGGTTTTTTTGTTTGGGTACCCTCCACCTTGGTGTTGGCCCTATGGCACACTAAGAAAGCAAAGTAAAAATCAAAACAAACAACTCCTCCCTTCATAAAAACCCCCTGCACCCATATTTTCTAATTAGAAAAAAATTATTTTAAATTTAAGAACTGCATTGTTTTATTATTAGAATGCAACTTATCTGGCTTTTCACGAGATTGCTTGCCCTCCAGTATGACACTTACTGCCTCTACTTACAGTGCCTTTTCCTTGTGATGGCCTGCTCATAGAGATGTTCCACTTAGCTGCCCTTCTTCTGGAAGTTCATACCCTGCTCTCTGACTGCTGCTTCTTGAAATTTGCCAGTTACACAGTTAGAGACATGAAGTAGCCATTTGTTACTTGCCTAGTGTCTCCTTCCTCTCTTTCCTCCCAGATGAGATGTTTTCCTCTTGTGTTTTCACCCTTAATATGTTTGTGTAGCACTTATCAAAACAGACCTAAACAATGTAATGGGTGTTATGTGTCAATGATAATCAAAGCCAGGGTGTTTAAACTGCTTTGCAAAAGTTTGCGTTTCTTCAGTATTCTGAGGTGTGTTTGGAAACAATTAGGTCTGTTTTTTTGCAGAGTAGGAACAGTTTTTCTTAGTCCACACTGAAAAATTCCAACGAAGGCAAGTTTTCTGTTGAGTGGTTTAAATAGTTCTGGGAAATGACAATCTAGATTAATTTTTCTACATTTGAACTTTGCTGTGAAATCATCTGAAAGATACTGTTACCGAAACATGATTAAATATCTAGTGTAATAGTCCTCAGACAATGCTGAGTTTAATAGCCAGGTTTGTATTATTGTCATGTCTCTACCAGGACAGAGGTTTCAGTCAGGGTTGGGGGGGGGGGGTTTGGAAGTGTTGTCATATGTAGTATGTATGTTTTGCTGAAACCATTTGCAAATAACTGCATCTGTTAGCTATTGGTGTCCTTGCTTAATAGGCAAGTTTAAAATAACTGCTTATACTTATGTGCTTCTGATTCTTTCTTTTGCAAAACAGATGAACCTCTGTATTCCAAGAATTGTTCCAAATCATATTTTCTGGCAGTGCTCTTACCTTTAACCATCGTATGAATTAAAATATGCTTTCCAGCTCTTGCCTAAGTTGTCAGAAA